CCTGACTGTTACTAAGAGCAAGAGAGAGAAAAGTTTGATCGAGTACCCTCGAGTACCGCCCTCAAGAATTATATTATGTCCTACATGGCCGAATGGTTCTAATAACAAAAACTGAGGCAGCCCACTCCCCTTCGACCTTCTCCCTCGACCATACGTATAATATGCCGACAGACGTAGACCTAAACAAATATAATTTTATTACTTATCAAGTCTACAGATATGAAATGACGTTTCAAGAGACGGATGAATAACACCTCATGTATAGAAATGCATGTTTGAAGTTGGACCTTGTCTACTACCAATCGTAAAACCAACACTTATCGCAAAACAACAATGCTTTTTCCAGCACCGAAAAGGTCGAAGTTTATGCGAAACGACAGTCGACAGTTTTCGTTTTGCTTCGTATGTATCGCAACGTGACCATGGTTGAAAGGTGGATCAATCTTGAGAGGCCCAGGGGCACAAATTCTGCGGATAAATCCAGGCATGCCATTCACATCGATCGCTAGACCGAATTGCTTTGGCAAGAAGAAAACGTTCTATGCTATGTAGTGGATGAGCGCGCCTATTACCTGTTAAAATCTGGTGAAACGATTCAAACACTGCCAAACACTGCCAAACACTGCCAAACACTGCTAGCAACAATTAGTCGTTCGCTAGAACTAGGACGACTAGAATATCGAGAGAAGCATCACTGGGTAAGTTTCTCAAGTGACATCTGCCGATCCATCCATACGCCAATGCCTGTTTGTCACACCTTCAATCACCTCAACTGGAAAATGTTAGTCTACGCCGTTTACCCGCTAGACTTGGCTTCTTCCAACAGATACTTGCCTGCATTGATCGATCATCACGTATTCGCTGAGCACAGCTTTGGTTGGTGCGAGAATGTGAAAAATCGACTCGAAAGGCGTAGTATCCACAATTTGCCCGAAAAATTGAGAAAATATATAACAAGCGATAAACTATTTTATTTTTTTTTTTTCTTCTGAACTCAAAATCTTTTTCCCAAAAAGAAAATTGTCACTTCACACTTGCAAATCTTATTTATATTTATTTTCTTTGAGGGGAAATGAAAGGAAAATGAGCTCGTGCTCAAGTTGCATCCTTGGATTTCTAATATATTTATTAATAAACATGCTCTGCAAGAGTGGATAAAAAGGTAAAAATATATAAGCTTTACAATAATATACTTATTTAATGGCCTCATTTCCAAAATATATAGATTTCGAATTTTCAAACTTTGATTAAATGGAAGCGAGTTCTTAGATCGATTTAGATAGATAGTTTTCTAACTTAAGCTTAGTTCGCCGCTAAATTTATTCTACTCTTCAAAATGCATGTATTTTTCTGGTGAGTAGAAAATGTACAGAAACAAATATTTTAAATAAATTTTCATGTACAGGTTTCCACCCGAAAAACTTCCTAGGCAAGGGGTACAATAAACGGTATTCCAGGTCTTCTGTACAACAAAAACACTTCGTATAGGGACTTGTTGACTACAAATTTTCGCAACCGGACTGATTGACTCCGCCGAGAACAAACTGTCGCGTCTCAAACATGTTCAAGTTTTACAAAAAAAGTACTCCAGCGAAGCAGCTCCTTTCCAAACTCAGGGATGAGTAATAATAATTGGCCTTTACACATTTCATTCTCCTGCCACGCTAGGCACGAGCGTAGAAACACTCATATAAATTTCTCTCTCCCGCCCTTTTTTCAAAAATCATTTGATGTCACGAAATAAAACAAAGGAAAAAACCGGATATGCCTAGTAATTGAAAACTGTTATGTGTGTGTTAGCCTATTTGCCAGCCTCCGTGATCACCTTTTACCGCAGGACATTTTTGCGGAAAGACATCCAGCAACAGACAAATGGGTAACGTGTTGTCTGGTATCTCTCTCTCTCTCTTTGTAGTATGATTGGCGTTGCCAAACGGCTCATATTTTATTCGAAATCAGCTGCTGGCAGACTTCAAATGGTGTCAACCCTCTCTGCCTTAATTTCCACTACTCTCTCCTTACGTGGGATTGTGTGTACGTAATGTCAACTTAAACTTAAAAAATGGCACCCAAAAGAGTAACGAGGGCGGATGAGGGGGTTTAGATGGCGTGTGGAAGAAAAATATTTCATTTTTCATATAATTCGTATGTCAGCTTGCAATGAAAACCCGTTTGACTTGGTCTTATATTTTTGCGCGGCTGACGCGTTTGAATATCTTTGCCGCATTTCTGACAGTTTGTTCAGCTTCTTCAGATATTTTTCAAAGAGATTATATATTAAACAAGTAGAATGATGGATATATTCAAAAAAGTACAAAAGTTAACTTTAAACAAAAAAGAAGAAGAGTTTTGATTAAATGCCAAAGTTTTAATTGACTATGCTTTTGTAAGAATCGTTTAGGAAGAGTTTAAGATAAATACTAGTGAAGTAAGAAATACAGAACGAATCTTAACAATAACAACTTAATGTCTTTCTTTACAAAAGTTTATTCATCAACAACAGAAGCATATAATTTTTAACTTAAACACGGACACTCTATTAGTGGTATAAACACAAGCGCGAACACTGCGCCTTACCTTCACGCAGGAAAAACGTTCAATATTGCATTTTGGCTTGGAACAAAAAGGCATTTGTCTATGTCTCTCTCTCTTTCTCTCTCTCTCTCTCTCTCTCTCTCCCTCTCTCTCCCTCTCTCTCAAAATCCATCGTCGTTCCGGTAAACATACGCAATCTTTATCGACACCTGCTTACCTTCGCAAGTTCCAAACCCACTCATTTGCCATGATGTTTGCAACATCCAAAAGGAAGTTTCGGAGATATATATAATGTATTCTTGATCAGCATGAAATTGTAAATTGATTAAGCCACGTCTGTGTGTTTCTATCGTGTGTAATGTTGATTGTTCTTCTGATCGCAAAAATGAAGATATCGGTTTCAAATTTGTAAGAAACATTGAAAGTCTTTGCACGCAAGGTTGATGTTGTAAACAAGCACCATTGGTCAAACCCACTGCCGTAAAGTAAAGCATAAAATGAACGCAACTCGGTTTTTATAAGAAAATATCTTAGGGGTTTTTGCTCATTACTCACAAATTGTGAAAGATAAAAGGATCAAAATTTATTACAGTTACTTTATGAAAAACTCTGCTATGTATGTGCAAGAATGGAAACAATCAACCATGCCCACACAAAGCTAAAAGTAATTAAATTTTCCTCTTTTCCCCCTTTTTTGCTGTCATATGTTTATTAATCACAAGGTGCAGAAGACAAAATGTTGAAAATTATTTTGTACTTTCCTCAAATGAAGATATATTATCAAGTCTAAAATAAAGATAGTGGACACCACAACCTGGCTGAGTAACTGTTTTCTTAATCATGCCAACGGTATCAGTATCGAGTAAAAGCACTTGGAGAATAGAAGGCGACAAGGTAAGTGCGTTAATTCCAAACTAATTACGGTGAGCATCACGACGTAACCGATTAATAATTTCGTTATAATGCGGTTGTTATGGGTATAATAGAAGAGGGCTTGGAGAGTGGACTGCAACAAGCTTAGTGTATTAATTAATTGTGGGCGACGTCACAATATGGTGGATAAATTTTTTCTTAAAAATACAGTCCATATGGATATCAAATAAAAGGACTTGGAGAATAGACTGCGACAAGCCAAATGTCTTCATTTTAAATCAATTATGGTGGACGTCACGACATCGTAGATTAGTTTCCCTCAACAACACACAGTTAGTGAAGTAAAAGGTGAAGGGTAAATTTTATCCCATTCACATTTGTATGCGATATTCGGCCCTAGACAGACAACGCCCAGAAACTGTTGATGCGAATGTTGGGGCGAATTTTTTCTTTGACCTAAGTGGTTTTTGTTTCATCAATCATTCAATTAAATCGTTTAAATTTCCTCATAAACACCGTATCCATTCCATTGATAGTAGTTATGTTAAACGCCTCGTTGGAGTCATATGTCCTCTGCATACATACGTTTTAAGTTAAGTTAAAAATTTCAGTCAATCGCTTAATTCGAATCCATTTCCGAGCGCTTGATACATAAAATTTACCTAAACGCTATCGTAGATCTGTTATCAACAGAGAATTAACTTTGGATTAAATGAAATAATTTTCGTTTATTATTATTTTTTATTCATTGTAGGCGCACATGTATATATATTATTGTACATATTTATTTATGTAAATATTTATATACATATATTGTACTCTCTTGTATATATATTTTGGTAAATATGCACTGTTGGTATAAAAAAAAGCAAAGTGAAGCCAATTAGCATATAATTTAACAGGAATATGCAAATGAACGAATGAAAGTGTTATCGTTGGGCAATGCCACTTTTGAATATCCTACGTCACTTTGTCTAACGCAATCTGTTTATATATATTCGACATAATATAATACAAGTTGTATGCCCTGAACTGACTCTAATTATCTAAGCTCTTAAAAGCTTACTCCTAGTGAGAATCTTTATATAGAACGAACTCAAAAAAATATATCTAAGTGTTCCTTGTTTTTGTTTTTGTAAGTAAATTTCGATGGGAAACTCTTCGAAACATCATTCCACAAGATTCACGTTTCGCACATTTACGGGAACAGACACATTTTGATCGATTCGCAAAATGACCCTGTTTCGATCGATATAAGGAAATCTTCTGCATGTTCCACACATCCACATAAACTTAATATACCTTTAGTAGAAATTATTTCGAATATAAAAGTTACATGTTATCAGAGAAACGTGTCTCTATTGCAACGACGCGATACAAA